ACTGAGAAGAGAGATGACATTGCAACAGTGATAAGAGAGACAGAGAAAGAACTGAATATAGATGAACTTATCAGTAGAAGAAATAATATCTTACTGTAAGATATAGTAACTACTGCTGCAGCTGTAAGAGAAGTAGAAGAAGAAGAAGAAGAAGATGTGATAATGAGAGTAGTACTTCTGTGATCTGTTAACATCACTGTCTCTGCCTTTAACTGAGCTTTCTTGACAGTCACAGAGACTGCAGCTGCATCATAAAGACATTTACTTACTAGAAAATATCAGAATAAGCTCTTTATTATTCTTCAAGAATGATACTCTCATACACTCACTATTATAATTGAGAGAGAGGAGAAGAAAAATATGTTATAGAAGAGAGAGATCTTTTCAAAAAATTCTATCACTACTATTAACTTTGTTTTTAAAACACATCACTTTTATAGAGAATTTCATATATAGAATGAAATATAATGAGAGATCTATAAGTCACTTATTAACTATATTTTTCACATTTCAAATTGATATATAAGGAACTCACTTATCACATGTTTAATTTAAATGAAGATGAAAAAAGAAAGATCTATACAGTCAGTAGAAAAACTCATCTATTTCTTTATATTATATGCAGTATATATGCTGTCAATCAGTTGACAACTGTTGTTATATAATAAAGATAACTCTTAATCTGATAATCTTGAGAGTATTGAGACTATATTCTTAAAGAAAAGATTATTGTTATACTCTCAGTTGTATCAAGACTCTGCTGCAGTTTCACACAGCTTATTACTTTTATATGAATGATTTCATTCTGTCTGAATCAGTTTTCAATCACTCTATGACATCATTTAAATATATTATAGAAAGATTTGATTAATGAATATAAGAATCTCACTTCTATATAAGGTCAGCAGATTACTCTTTCTTAATAGTGAGACACTGCTGAGATATTGCTCTGACTATTCTCACTTGTAGAATGAGAGAAGAGTATCTGTTCATTATCTATATAGAATAGTTAGATACTGACTTCATATTAAAGAAGTCAGTGATTCATTTTTCTTCTACTGAAATATATATGTAAGTTACTGTGTTTCTTATACAATCTTCTTAGTATACTAAGTATTATATCTGTGATATTCTTGTAATAACTCTGTAGCATACAAGCTCGCCATTCAAGCAAGATAATCAAGCTCACTTATATGACTTCTTAAACAACTATCTCTATGTAATGCCGCTGACTAGTCATCACTTCAGTTCCGTCACATTACACTGATCTGAAGAAGATATGAGATTGACTACTGATCTGAAGATTGAGTGCAGTGACAGAGCTGAGAAGAATGAAGATACTGTTATAAACAGTGATATCTCTGCTTCATTAGCTGATAAAAAGTAATCAGAGAAGTTGTGAAGATGCTTATAAGAAGCTCAGCAGCAGTCAGACATTGTTTATAAAGATATTAAAATTGAAAAAATTTTTATTCTTGAGAAGTTCTTGAATTAATATGCAGACATTGTTAGAAACACTCTCTCTCTATTATCTGAGTGAAAACACTTCACAGATGAATGAGAATACTCATAGTTTATAAAGATAAGAGCTGTTACAGAAAAAGAAAAAAAAGATAAGATTTCACAGACAGATCTGAGATATTTATACTACTTTAAAGAGATTTACTTACACTGTGAGTGATTTCATAGAACAGTTAGATCACTTTAGTAAATAAAGAGTGATTATGAATTGCAGATCTGAATCTTTCTATATAACTATAAAGAGTAATTGCAGACTGTGAATATCTTGATTCTATAATTCTACAGAGTTAATAAAAGAATGAAAAATTCCTCACAATTCTACAGTGTTAAAGAATAATGATTTATAAGAATAAGTAAAAGATTAACTCATAAATACTTCTCTTTAATGAGAATAATCTTACAGAGAGTGATTCATCTGTGAGATAAATCTATGTAATGATTATACAAGAATCTCATGAAAATAATTGAGAGTGAACTGAAATTCTTCTGTATAAAAGATGTAAGATAAATCTATATGATAGTCAGAGAAGAATCTGTAAATTATAAAGAATCTCATAGAATAAGAAACTGAGTGATAGACTTTTTTCTCTTTATAGTAATAAGAGATTTTTTCTCACTAAGGTTTTTTTATAGATATAAAGAATTTTCAGTGAGTATCACTGCAGTGCTGAGCTGATTCTATGAAGTCACTCAGTAAAAGACTTCACAGATAAAGTCTTAGAGAGGGAAAAGTATGTAAGAAATCTTACTTCTCACAGATTCTTTATCTCTATTTGTATCTCTTATGTAATTAATAGAGTTAGCAGCTCTTGACTACACACAACTATATAGACTGAAGTTCATGAATACTATTCATAACTCCGCTTGAATACTATTATACATTTAATCTCTACATTTATCTTTCTATCATGAATACTTCTAGTTGTTAATAGTACATATCATTTCAAGCTGCAAACACCCGAATAATCGCCTGCAAGCACTTATTCTTACACTTTCATATTATACATATTATTTATCACAGTAGATATAAGAATTATATTCATTATTATTTTCTTCTTAAATCATTATTATCTGATCTTTTCAAGCTTCTGCTGATGAGTTTGAATAGAAGCTAATCTTTTCTCTGTTTTATTAAAGTATTCTTATAGTTATCTTCTGAATCTTTCTCTAATGTAATGTGATTAATGTGAACAGGCACTGATTCTTTCTTAGAATAAGAAGATATATTAATTAATTAATAGTTGAAAGCAATGTGTTCTGATAAGTTATAGTTAATATATATCTTCTATTAATATTGATCAGCAGCTTCTTTAGAAGTGATCTCAGAGACTTAAAAGTCTATTCAGATAGCAGAGACTCTTACTTATATATAGACATTTGAGTCTACTTAATTCATAACATCTGCATTATTCTTTAATACAGATGTATAAGTGTATCATCTTTTACTATTATTCTGTATACTCTTAAGCTTGATAAGATAGTGATTCAATATCTGAAGTTATATACAGAAGTCTTCATAAGTCTGGTCTTTATCTATACTTATAAGAACTTATAAAAGTTTAAAAGTTAGTATTTTCTTAAGTATACTAATCTTCATTTAATTCTCTCAGAATTGATTATCTGCTTCTAGAATCTTAGTGTTAAAGTCAGAAATAAATGTTATAAGAGAAGTATTCTTCTGTTAAGTACTCTGTAATTAATCTAATATCTTCTGTTATATAGTAATGTCTCTGAACAGAATTTTAAGATATCTAATAATATTATTAAATATATATAACACTGATTCAGATGTCTTTATTCATGAATAAAACTTCTATTTTATATAATCTTTTAATCAATCATTAATATATTAGTCTTGATTAGTTAATAAACTAATAATATTTTCATCTACACTTAGTCTTACAAGCATGTTTAATTTTTATAATGAATAGAAAGTAAGATCAGAAGTGTTAAAATATACAGAAGTATTTAGATATTTCTTCAGAACTTATATATTTATATCTGATTTAATCAGTGTTGAAATTATCTGTGCAGAGATTTCTTA